CTTGGTCTTCATTCGTGACTATCAAGACTGGGTAACCTCATGCATTTCTTTCATTCATGCATAACGCTTCCCACTGTTTTGTTTATCATAGGTCTTGTTACGGTTTCTGCGCTTAATTTGGTATTTCACCTTGATTCTCTCGTTTTTACCAAGGACTATCAGAATTCCGATATAAAGCGTCTGTAATTTGTTGTCACATATTTACCATTTCCCTGAACTTAAAATATATTTTGTAACCGTCATACATATTTTATCATGACATTTGTTTTAACGTTACCAATACGCAATTCTTCGGCGCCAGTTGCTGGCTTCTTGCTGAATGAGTGGATTTACGCTTCGTTGGACTGTTTGCTGACCGCTGACCCAGCGAGACTAGATCTCTGTGTTTGTGTGAACTATTGAACGTCACATTAAATCCCCGTAACATTTTTCAGCTTTCCTATCATGGAATACACCACTCACACGTGAATCATCCGTGGGAAATTTCTACTAGTGAATATTTCTTTCACTGCATTTGGATCGGTGTAGTGGACTATTGGATCTACGCATTCGTGAGTCCTCATTCGACTACTCATTCTTTTCTTATTGTGATTTCGTGATTTTGTATTGGCTACTTTGCTTGTTCAGTTGTTCGAACACGCTGATAAGGTCCTAGTCCGCTACAGCTTAATGTGACATGCTTGCTGTGAGCTTGGGTATGATTTTGGTGTACAGGACCATCCTTGCGGTCGTTTATTCTTTTTTTAAACTGCCCCTGATTTCGGTGCAGTTTCCTCAAGTTTTGTTCAGGGAAATGCTTTGACTACAACCATGGCAATCGCTGTGATCAGTGGACATTTACCAAGATGCTCCATTCGCAATTAGCACAGTTTACGTTACTAATCTACTGCAGAATGTAACCGTTTCCAGCGGATGTTCATTGGCCCAAATGCTATTAAAAAGGTATTCGTCAACACAAACCTTATAGCAGTTAACGCCACATTCATAATTCATTCTGTTTGGGTTTAGAGGTCGCGGATTCTAAGGTTGACTGAGGATATAGCCGCCTTATACAGGTCCGACTTGGCAAAAGGCAACTGTGCGTTGACCGCCTCGTACCTTTGGATCGTCATGACAATAAGAGCAGAGTATTAAATAACCACTCGTGCAGCAAAAACGTCTGACCTCGAAATTCTACCGGATGGTAAGTAAATACGGGTGCAATACTTGAGGCCCATCAATCACCGTCTAATTACATCAACGCTACCGAGAGCATATCAAATGGTATTGGCCCACATTCGAAGTAAATGCCACAAAAATCAGACCCGATGAAGTGGTTCAAACGAAGAGCACGATGATGTGTCATCGGACGCGACTAACTCTCAGGATAAATCCTCAGCCGACATTTGCCAGGCAAATGCCACGCAGTAAACATCAAGTGGATACAGAGGCAACGATTGCCAGGGCTGAATGCATGGACGCCAAATAAGGAAAATCAATCAAGTAACTCGCCAATATCCGCATTGCTCCAAACTTAAATATGCGTAGAATTTGACCGAAACAAAAATCTGCTGAGCAAAAGAGAGGTAGGAATACGCAGACAAACGTTCATCCCGCTCTCTTATGCAGACTATTGAAAAATCCTAGGAAAACATACAGTGATCCGGTGTTAACGGAATATATCACGTCCAAGAATCCTGAACTCCCATAAGGGGAATTATAGCGTGTATGCGGGCAATCGTCTACACAATCGACTGCCTTCTTGGTAAACTATATTTGTGTCAGCTAATCCCTTGGAGTTTCACAGATGATGGCTCTTTCTTTGTGTTCACACACACAATGTGGATTGGAAGGCTGAGAACAACTGTGGCCAATACAGAATCATTAGCCATATTGCGAAGACACGAGCTTTTCCATGGGCGCGCTCAGTTGTGTTAAAGTGGTTGAATTCGGGCTCCGAATACCGAGTCTCCCATGTTGTTGACTAGCGCAGATGTAGAACCAACCTCCGATAGACAGCCTGACAAAATTGCTAAGTCTTTTGAGGTTAATACGGTGGGATTGTCCAAACATAAGCCTCGGTATTAGGATGCCACTTGTCAGCTAGAGTTGTCGATTTGGGTGTATTGAGGCATACTCCACTTTCTCCAGCAGTTCCGGCAGCTACTGCTGTTGCAAACTCCTCGCCACTTAAAAGCATGGGGGATGCCCCAAGTAAATTCTTGCGTCCGTTCGATCTAGTGAACTGATAGGTTCCTTTGCAAAATAAGATGGTTCGACTGAAACCGTAGTCGCGTTATATTTACTGCCTCTAAAACTAGCCCCTACTTTCGGCTCCCTGACAACGATTGCTATACCGGCCCTTTTTGAAATGACTTGAGCTAGCTTTAAGCTCCTCTTCAAGACAAGCATGACCTATTGCGCGCAAGTTCAAGTCGTCAATGGAAGGGGAACTATATCCTAAGATGTCACGAGACTGGTAGCCAGGTTGCACCATCAACAATTCATCGACATGATGATCAGTAATTGAAAAAGTGGATCTGCATGCCTCACTCCTCTGCGCCTCCAAATGGGAGAACACTGCCATAGGGCTGTGCTGGGAATCGACATAGGGATGCCGGTGCATCTTCAGCAGATATGACAGTCGAGTATCAATTATCTAAATCAAAGGCATTCAAGATGTCAGCAAAAGCCGAAATTAGGTTAGCAGTAGTCTCTAAAAGACCATACTTTGACACAACAGCTTATATTCCACCAAACGTCTTGTTATTGCAAAGAAAGTTGGAACAACTTCGCTAACTGGACATTTCTAGATAGTTGGTATAGTACGGGAGAAAAATAACTTGCAAACGAGTATAGGAATGGAATCAACAGATAAGTGCTTTCCTTCGAAAGTCGTACATATTGTGTATCATGAGCTATACAGAAAATAACTGGCCTTTGAGAGCAATAAAACAATGAGAATGAAAACTAGCTTTTGGAACCATGTGAAGGCATAGGAAGTTGTGCGACTTCTTCAGAATCAGTTTGAAACCAAATTGATTGCGCGTTGAAGCTGAGGAAGACCGCTTTGCGATGAAGAGAAGGCTTCTATTGAATTACGCATTTTGCTCTCTTTCTGCGTTTCTTGGCTGGCACTGGAAAAAAGTATCGAAAAAATATTTGAAACGTTTGGGGTCGAACTATACAGAACGTGAGTACAACACAACACGACAAGCTATTTGATAACTGCAAAAAAGAACTGTAAAAACAACGGTGATTTTTTTCACTCCACTGGTGTTTTCAGCTTTGCATGCAAAGTTTAGTTTCTCACGCACCGATTTAGACAGGTGTTCGAGGGGGCATAAACAAGGTCCACAGACAGATTAGCCGTTCCTGAAAACAGCCGATCATACTATCGGGCCTTGAATACAGCGAACTACAAGGAACAAAATCTCTCCTTGGAAGACCGCTTCAGACAAACGAATAGGATAGGGTTGCAGTCGTTAGATTGGTAAACTCTACTTGTGGACTATGCCAATACGCACATACGGAGTGTGGTGAGCTTTGTTCGGCACACATAAATCAATTTCACTCTGATCACACAAGAGATCATCGAAGCTCTCAAACCAGACATTCGGCATACCTGCATTTCCTTCTAAAAACACTGTCACAATTGTCACGTCACGTGCGCATGGGAACCCATGAAACCCCACCAACACATCACTGGAAATTCGACGTGTTAGACTTCATATCTTTATCTGGGTCCCCACTTCGAACAGTTGTAATCTCAGATAACCGCTGCAATGAGGTGTAATCGGGGCATGTGCTAGTTGACACGGTGCTGCTGATGAGGTTGTAGAAGTGTCTGACTTTCGTTCCGTTGTTAAGTTGAATAAATGAAGTAATGTGAAATCGCGAAAGTTTCAAAACAACCGAGTACTGATTTTTGGTGTCCATCGATAAACCGTAATAACTTGGTAGCAAAGACTGCGCCTAAACTCTCTAATGGAGTCAAAGCTTTCTCGAACCATATCAACAGCTATCAAAAAACTGATTTATTCAAATGGTTCAGCTGTAGAACCCTTTCGGACCAGGAGGGACCACGAGGGCTTAGATACTGCCAGGTTACTCAGGCCCAGACGGGGTAAGTCGAGAGGCGGAGGTCGGGTTCGAACCACGGACCTTCCGGTCAGTAAATTTCCGCTCTAGACATCTCGCCCCACCTGAATTATTAATATAAGAAATTAAGTAATTTAGAAAGGTAAATAAAAGCGGAAAATAGACATCGTCCTTATTATGGGAGGACGACGATGTAGCCGTAAATCGTCGTGTTACTTCTAATGAAAGCAAAACCTCAGGTGGTTCCAGCTGTAAGAACCGCGTACTTGTACAGTGGTTATAGCTACCACAGTTTTGTTCATCAATGATTTGGAGGGGTGGGGTAGGTAGCTGTGCATTCGAGGCTGGCGCTGATAAATTGGTGCAGTGGACTGGTAAGTGAAGAAATCAAGAAGTGAACCACGCACTGAAGGCATTAGTTTAGATGAAAGAGCGCCATTGAGAATGCGACTGGGCCATGTCTGACAATGTCTCTAACCAATGATGTGGGCCCGTCTTGGGGTCCTCATGCAAAAAGACGACAATGACCAGCGCAATTGAGTTTACCGGTAATGGCTTTTATACTATAACTTTAATCCATTGTTTGACCACCTCTGGCTCGACTATGCGAAAACAACCCTTCACCATCAGCGTTTCTTTCTTCACCCATATGAAGGTTCACAACAATGAAATTCCTGTTGCCTTCTCAAAGGGAACCATCAATTATTCTGAACAGGTGCGTTAGCCAAATGATTCGCACCTTGGGACGAAGAAAGTTGCTTTGGTTTAAAGTACTATCTGCAAAAGGTCTAAGTGTAGAACCACTGGACGTGTGAGACAACTCAGAGATACAAGTGCATACTTCTTTCACTGGTCAGTGTTAGTTCAATTCTAATGAAATGTAGGGACGTGCAGTCAACAAATTTGCAACTGGATCAAACTGTGCGTCCTAATGAGGCATCAGCATTGTTACCATAGTGACAACATCAGAACAAAAATGAACCCGAAAAACGGAACAACAAGTACTGTTTGCATAGAAAACTCACAAACATTCTATACGTCAGTAGAGTTGGGAAAAGAGGGGAATTGTGGGACTCACCATGGCTATGTTTTTAGATTTGCCCAAAGATGCAAGCAGGACAGGGCCTAAATCCCACAAAAGCTATCCCACCAATGTAAAGACGCATTATCAGCTGGTGTGTGTAATTACAAAATACCGCCTCAGATAGTTGCATTACACGAGGAGATGAATTGGACTTTGGGAGTCTCTGAACTTGGCGGAGACTGGCGTTTGCTTTCTACTCGCAATAGTTCTCTTGCCAACTTATTGTGGCCAGGTGTGTGATTTCAAAACTGTCGGGTCACACACTGCGCACAAACCAACCGGGTTGCAATGATCGGACGGCGAATTCCTCCCCGTTCCAGCCCATTCTTGACCCAAAGCCTTTGTTGCGGCATCTCTTTGCCCTTTGCTCCTTATGTAGTTCCTGTAAATCGTGTTCTCAAGTAACCTAACCCGGTTCTGATCAGGCTGGGATTTTTTGTTTCAAAAATTTGAGCTTTCACACCGAAGTATGAATGTCACCTCAGATTGGTGTCAGCGCGGCTGGACAAGTTTCAGGCTACTGATAGGTAGCTAAGAAGGAAGCGTTTATGCGAAGCTCTTTTTTAAACAGGTCAAACTCAATATTATTGATGAGAATAGAACCGAAACTGAACGCGGTATCACATCATATCTTTTCTTAGCCTGAAAATCGTAGCCTTCCAATGAACGACATACAAACCTCAACACAGCTGGACCGTTTGATTAACCAACCGGGAAAACGGTCTTTTTCAATTATGAGCTTCCACCATGCTAGAATAAACAAACCACGCCAGTACACAAGTCAATGTGCTTTTGAAACAGTAGTTTCTAGCGTCTCAAATCCACCGTTTACACCGCAGTAAACCAGCTACTTGAAAAAAATGAAGGTGTGCTGGTCAAACAGAAAAGCAGAGGAAGTTGGGAGGGAGTCAAAACACCCTCACTAACGATCAAAATACTAAAATGGACGACACCGACTACTGACAGAACACCTATAGAGAGAAAATATGGAAACGCTTTTCTACTATCGTGAAAATCTAGGGGGAAATCTACAGTCACACATGCTTTTTGATTTAACCAATCACGTTGAAGTCGTCAATTCATAAAAGTGTCACATTAAAAATGCCCGAATTGATTGAATTACTGTATCTAAGGCTGGTGCTTGAGACACCAATAGTATTTTGACTTACTGCAAAGAAAACTCAGGCTTCGGCTGAAATTTTAATAGTTTTTTAACAAGCGATATGTTAATAAATTTTTAACAAGTGATAACGGGAACTCATCGAGAATGTTTGTCCAGGCTGACCGCCGAAACTGACCTGGAGGAGCCATTCGTTTTTCTGCCCACCTACATCAAACGCGTCGAAGCAAAGCGATTTACTGTAAACAAGGTCATTACGCAAAGATACGAGTCCTTGCCACGTTTTTACTGGGAACAGTACTACAGGCATACAAAAGGTCATTTTATATTTGGACGGAATTTCCACCGGTGTGACTGTCAGCGCTGACGTGCTCGTTGTTTCCGTTAGTCAAATCCCGTGTCCTGAATGTGAATTGCGTGTGCCACGTGGTCGCGATTCTTATCGAAGCAGTAGATTGTGTTGACGGTAGGGGACCGTAACGCAATGCGTTTCGACTGAATGTATCGGATCCGGGGTTTCTCTATGCATATTCTCCGCACTTCAGACTCCTACCCGCTAGTAGTGTATGTCTGCCAACTGGACGTGGCTGGTACGTTTATTCGAATTGGTTTATTCGGATTTGGTTTCATTATTTTGACTGATGCGTTCCCTCCACACTCAAATTGACGGTTCAAACTTCCTTAGTTTTATAAATGGAGATCTCGTCCTTTAAGTGAAGCCGGTTTATAATAGAAAACAGAGGAGCACTGTAAAGGCGCTTCATGCTTATTGAGAATCAGCAGCAGTGCGTGTACCACAAAAATTTCAGGGAGTTTCGAACCCTCGCCCTCCCAGCTGTTAGTTTTAACGCCTAACTGTTCAACGAAAGACGGCTAATCAGGATACAACGCCACCTATCCTTCACTCATGTAACCCATATCACGTGGTCATACGTGTTAACTGACTGCCCGAACGACGACTTGGGATGTATTTCAACTTCTTTTGAACTACTTATCAATCGTTGGTAGTAAGAGAAAATTTGGAAATTTTTTATGAGATTTTGCCTTGAAAACGGTTCAGAAAAACTCTATAGGTAGCTCAAAAAGGGAATACTATTTAAATGATGGATGAAATTTCTATGTGCAAACTTGTCAGGTAATGAGGCAATCAACACGTGACTACGTCAGGTGTATTTCTTGATTGAAGGGTGAGTGGCCGTATGACGAAATGACCACACCACTGATTGAGCGCTCATGACCGAACGGTTATGTTCAAAATACTAGGTGCGATCTCGACCGCCCGAGATCCCCGGGGTTCGGTGAGATACACACTGCTGAAAAGTTCCAAGGAGGATGAAGCAGCTGCCTAATGCTTCTAGTTTTTCAGAATAATTTGGCTCCACTCGGAGGACGAAATCTTCATTAAGATTCCCAAACATCCCCACCCTACTAACACTCTATAAGTAACTAAGAGGAAGCATAAAGTTCGCCCAGTGAGTAGAATTTTCACCTGCAGAATTACTGCCTTAGCAGTCACCTACAGGCCGAAGTCCACGTTGAAGTATTTTCAAATCTTACACCACCAACCAACTGCCTTTTGTCGGTAACGATGCCCACAGACTAACCCAGACGATGAGCCGTGAGCGAATGAGCTATTCGTTATAATATAACTGAAAAGTACTTTTGTTAGCTTTGAATCTCAACTAATATTACAGCCGCCATTGGGTGAATTCATTACCATCACTCCATCGACTTAACGATGATGCCAATATTCTTATATTCTCCTGATTCTCTTATACTGCAGGTTCTCTTCAAAACTTTTGAAAGTAAATATTGGAATCTGATGAGGTTAGCAGTTTCTTAGACATTGCAAAATGCATAAGGGTAGTTATACCCTACTAGTTCACCTAGATTATGGTTGTGCAGTTGGGTTCTGGATCAGTTGCCTTTTCAGAAAATATTTCTTTCAAGAATGCACACTCTGATATCTTGATTTACCAGTTCTTAAGAGGCTGGGAGTAATATTGCTCACTCTAGGTTACGTCATTTAACTTATCAGTAGGTTTTGATCCTTTTCCCTGGTGCGGGAAAACTATAGTTGCATCGAATGTCTCAATATGGTTGTCTGGACTAGCTCTTACCACTTTGAGGTAACTATATACTTCCTGGGTTGTAGCACGCGCTCTTTCTCATTGCACTTTCATAGTGTCAGATAGACGTCCAGCAATCCCACCGTATGACAGGATCTGTACACTGGGACAATCTCCAACAGCTGTTGATTCAACTGTTGGGTAGCTGGTCTAAGATCAGTATTCCTGAATCATTCAGACGAGTGAACGTTTTTACCTACAGGTTTTGAGCGACTCTAGATTGGTCGCAGAAAACCAACAACCCAGACGCTTCGATGACACCATGATACATCAAGGGAGTATAACATTATGATGCAGATTGTCTTGAAAGAGTGATTTGGTGGAATGTATAAGGTGGATATTGTAGGATTGGACAGATGTGCCCTTACTGGCAAATCTTTGCCACTTACGACAACACGACTGCGTGACCACACCGCGAGGACACACTTGTGGACATATCACCTTGAATCGAATGGAAGTGACTGAAGCTCTGGAGATCAAGTGAGAGTAAACATACAAAAATACCACCATACAAGTCCCTTTTGGGTAACAACTCACCTTTTTCAACTGGTCGAATCGGACGTGGGACGTTTTCACAAAACTTTCCAATCATATTACCAGGGGGTGTGTACCGTCCAACCACATAAATACTCTTCCCATCGGAGCTACTGGCTCTCCCAAAGCCGGCCTTTTGTGTTCCTTTCCAGATTACTTGTGTAAAGTGACCTGGTAAAAAAAGCAGTGAATTAGAGACATTATGGGAATATTAATGAGGGGGCTTTCTCAAAACCAAGGCCCAGTAGGTAAACACGCGAAATAAGGCGTTCCCTCCTCGAAGATCCGAGAGGCTATCATAAACTTCAAAGTATAATAAACCCATATGAGTAGCAAGTAGGTGAGGAGATGAGAGCTAGCATTTTCGGCTGCGCCCGCGTTTCCACCATTGTCTACCCGGAGATATCCTATCTTGACTGATCCACAAACCGTGCAAGCAACGTTATTCACGAATTTGAAATATTTATATCGCTCCATTCAGTTAAACAACACAGTTGGACGACAGAAACCGGTAGATTCACATATTTCACAGTGGCTCATCAGTACTGAAAGAAGTAAAAACGAAAATTTTAAAGTCCGTGTAGAGAGAATCGATACACCGTTTTAGCACAAGACAGCCCAATTTTCGTCTGGACACATAATAGAGGTCTAAATCAATCGATCTCAGCGGTATGAACGAATCTGAGAGAAGCTGATTTCTGAGTATAGAAAGCAGTGAATTAGAGACATTATGGGAATGTTAATGAGAGAGCTTTCTCAAAAACCAAAGCCCAGTAGGTAAACACGCGAAATAACGAGTTCTCTCCTCGAAGAACTAAGGGGCTATCATAAGCTTCAAAGTATAATAAACGATTACGAGTAGCAAGTGGTGAGAAGAATGGGGGCTGCACCCGCGTTTCCACCATTGTCTACCCGGAGATATCCTATCTTGACTGATCCACAAACCGTGCAAGCAACGTTATTCACGAATTTGAAATATTTATATCGCTCCATTCAGTTAAACAACACAGTTGGACGACAGAAACCGGTAGATTCACATATTTCACAGTGGCTCATCAGTACTGAAAGAAGTAAAAACGAAAATTTTAAAGTCCGTGTAGAGAGAATCGATACACCGTTTTAGCACAAGACAGCCCAATTTTCGTCTGGACACATAATAGAGGTCTAAATCAATCGATCTCAGCGGTATGAACGAATCTGAGAGAAGCTGATTTCTGAGTATAGAAGATGTCTGTTCTTCCCTCATTTTGTCAATAACAACAAAACACCTACGCTCTTCCCTTCGTATTATTTTGGAATTCACATGGTTTGACTTGAACTTTGTCGGAGTTAGAAGCAAAACTACCAGCCACCAGGCATGAATGGAATTGTGGCAAACATCGAGTACGAATGCCCACCTCATTCTCAGACGTCGTCAACGACTGGCGACACGGATATTATGACTAAAAACCGTGTCATCAATGAGAAACCGGGCGGTGCTGGATGGCACCAGTTAGATATCGTCCATTATGTTGACATTTGAAATTCCTCACGTTAAATCTTTTCCTATTTGTAACCCCCGCTCCACTTTTGTGTTTAGTGCGCGTATATGAACTGACGTTTGTTGGTCCTTACCACTTCACTCATTTGGCGTTGAGGTCATCCAGCCATTTGTGACCGGCTTTATGCACGTGTGGTTGTCTCACGTGGGAGCCTGTTTTCTCATTTGGTTCTTACTTTTGTAGTCCGAGTGGACCATTTGTTTTGGACGAGTATCTGCTGTCGAGGTTTGTATAATTAGTGAATTTATGTTTTTAATAATAGTATCGTATAGCAACCTAGCTCCGACTCTATTTGGCCTTCCCGGAAGTTCTGGTATTACGCATCACTCGAAGATATCGTTTACCTATCACACTTGACATCACTGGTTGTTGAACGTAAGTTGACATGATTAATCCCCCATTCAGTTGCCTATGTACTTTTAGTCCGCACTCATTTTGCTCTTTGTACGCGCCACCCACCTTGCCGCAAAGGCCTTCCCGTCCGACATTTGTCAATTAGTATCTGTGACTGCGCGTAAATGTGCGCAGCCGATCTGCTTACCCGTTTGCTGAACCTACATCGACGTGGTTTCTCATGGGTTCCCTTCCCGTCCGACATTTGTCAATTAGTATGTGTGAATGCGCGTAAATGTGGGCAGCCGATCTACTTACCCGTTTGCTGAGCCTACATCGACGTGTTTTCTCATGAATTTGTTGATTGAATTACTCTTGGAACTGTCCAGCAGACTGTGGTCAAATGCCCATTACGCCTTTATTCAATTAAAATACTTGAGGAGACCAGTTCTGTCATCATAAACGTCATGTGATCGCAACCCCAATAAGTATCACGAGGCCGTCGTCGGAACGGACGACTACAACCCACACTACTGAGCCAAAATTTTGCGCGCGGTTGTTTGGTGAACGAACGTAGAGATTACACTGTGCCGGTCAATAACTTGTGCACTTGTTGATGCCACGAAGGTGGACGATTGAGGTTTGTTGTGTACATTTACCTAATCTTGTGTAAATAGTACCGTAAAATTTCGAACGGGGTTGTCAGAACTACGCATCACTCAACACTGGTTCTAAAAGTTACATCATGAGGTTACCTACGATCGCCTACCAAATTCACTGACCTATTCATTCAGACGGAACGAAAACGCCTGTACAATCAACTCACCAGACTGGGGTTGAAATTGTTCCACATATTGATGAACGTGAATTTCATCGTACCACATTTGGGTCGCTTGTTGACCTCAAATAAAAAGGGGAATAGACGTTCTTGTGATCCAAATGGACTGTCGAATTGTAATAAACTAATAAAGCTATGAATATCACGAAAATCTTATCTAACCGCTTAAAACACTGACCGCGGGTCTCCAAAGTTAAACCTTTGGAGAAATTGCCTATGAACAGTGGGGAGTAGACCGTTGTCCAGGGGGCAACGCGAACATTCAGGTACAAGACTGAATGAAATACATAACTCAAAAAGACATCCTTTTTTAATGCAAGATTATACGGGGCTCACAAGATGCAGCGTGAGTAACCCCGCCAGAGTACCGATCTGACCATTAGGGGGCTCAAGCACAACAAGATGTGGAACAATTAATCGAATGAGATATGCGTGTGATAGCAGCATCCGTTTCTCCCTTTTATGGACCAGTAATTGAGATCTTTTTTTAGTCAAGCTAAACGCCAAGAGTCTACCAATAATTAGTGGAAACTGCAGTGAAATCAACAGTAAATTAAAGTGCTAAACGACGCTTCTCATATCTCTGATAGTAATGCTAGGTCACAAAATATCGATAAATATATGTTTCGATACCTCATCGTTCCCTAAAGTATGTATTTTCCATCCCTTGTTTTCAGAAACACGTACAACCTTCCACGTGCTGGCGTCCCGATGCCTATGAAATCATCGAACTTCAGCATTTCTCACGAAATACCAGCCAGCTTCTATGTTCCCTTAAAAAAAGTAAACAGCATAAGTGCGCGCGCTTATCTGCTCGTGAGTTTCTCACAACCTGAAGACTGAGCTTTTCGCAGGTTTAATCGATTTTCGCACATGACATAGTCTTGTGATTGGCTGAAACATTCGTAACAAATAATTTGCGCTGTTTCGTCCGCTCCTTGGTGGATCTTACTTTTCAGACCATCGAGTACATGACTCTCAAGCACGCGGATAGACACTGCAACCAAAATGAAAACAAATCGATTGTAGCAGCTGGTTGTCTGAACCTATTCTCAGGTGAAGCTTCGTTAGCACACTTATAAAGGCCACGAATACGTCTTCGAATATTTATTCTGAAGGTCCAAGCTTCGGCAAACAAAAATGCTACCAAAATGTATCAGATCCTGTAACCAAAACCGACAGACATACTCACCGGAGAGAGCCGCTTTTACAGAGGATTGTTGATAGGCCAGGTTCTCTCCAAATCTTTTGTCATTGCTATGTTGAAGTCGTTTAGTTCTCGCCAACTCTTCAGCCCACTTTTGGGCACCTCTTGCGAGTTCAGGATCCAAAGTGAGCTTAGGACATCCGTGAGCGGCACGTAATCTAGCAAATTGATGGAAAGCACACCGGATTACATAAATCTGAGATTATTCCGAGCTGTTTCATCTTCTCCAACTCACAGAAACTCAGAAACACTTCCTTAACTGTGAAGTGAATCCAGGTAATGACATCATAAAGCGATTTGCAGATGAAACGTGACACTAGTTCAGTAGGGTGGATGATAGGGTTTTTGCGCCAAGGTTCAATTAGTCTCAGTCCGTATACAGCCATGAATTGTAAAAATATAAACTGTTGCTTAACATCACCAGCCTGTTCGATTCAGATACCAGTTAATGTAAGGTGACTAAGCAATACCCTCAATCCGATACACTCAACCTTCCTGCTTGCTGTTCTACTTAGTAAAGGGCTTTTTATAGATTCTAGACACAGGTATATAAAAGAATGACTAATTGCACGCGCCATTAAGTTTCGCACTTTTAGTTCGTTTTATAAACCTCGTCCTATTGTTTTCATCACAATGATGGACGTGCAATTTCCGGGGCAAATCTGCCAACAAAATGTTCCAGCGCGCATCTCTGATGTTTGTCAACATTGATATATTCTCATATTTGTAGTTTCTGAACATATACCACCTCGTCTTGGCCCTGAATTGACCCTGCATCCTATCGGGTTGGAAAGCGTTTCACTTGGTGTATGCATGACCGAAATTGCAGTTGTTATTGACGTCATGGAAGATACTCTTGGATATCTATCAAATAATTATTCTCCACGACAGCTTAGTTGGCAACCTAACGCTTTTACACGCGTCTCACACTCAACCAACCCACTCAAACCATGGTCCGTGATTTTAGGCCATCGCTCTTTTGAAGATGCATCAATAAACCTTCCCGTTCTGAAGAGCCATTGCGCTGAATGGCAAGCTGAGACTTCACATGGTTGATTGAATTAATCTTAGAACAACTTTGTGTCCAGCTGACTGTGATCAAATGTCCATTACGTTTTTATTCAATTAAAATACTTTAGGAGACCAGTTCCGTCATGATCAACAGCATCATCAGCTATGGAAATCGCGTACATGGCTGTCACAGCTCTGTTCGCCCGATGGTTTAGGGAGGTGGAGTATCTGAGTTCGCATTACAGGCGGTAGGTGGTATAAATGATGTGAAAATACGGGGTTGTCAGTGGACTTTTCTTTGGGGAGATCCGGGGTGGTGCTATGCACTAAAGGCAATGACTTAAAAGCTTAGCGCCAATGAGGGCGCGAGTGGATCTCACAATTAAGATCAATGACGATTTCTGAATGTGAAGTGTGCGGATGGCAGTGATGCTTTTAGAGCTTACTCCTCTACACTATTCAGTATGATTTTCTGTTTCAGAAGGCAGTTTCCACCTCCAAAATGCCATCTTGTTTCAGAATTCTTTACTTCAGTGCACCCCTGAGATACGTCAGAATGAGGATTTGATGCCTGTGACGGCTGTGTGGCAGACGAAGTTTAGGAACATAATGATGAGGGAAGGAGCAATATCTACCAACGTGTGTCACTTGTGGTATCACTGAGGTCAAAGAAAAATGTTCACAAAACCAACTTGACAGCATTGCTAACCTGTGGCTGCGACACCAGACCCCTTCGTTCTCAGCACCTCTAAAATGCCATCTTGCTTCAGAATTCTTTACTTCAGTGCACCCCTGAGATACGTCAGAATGAGGATTTGATGCCTGTGACGGCTGTGTGGCAGACGAAGTTTAGGAACATAATGATGAGGGAAGGAGCAATATCTACCAACGTGTGTCACTTGTGGTATCACTGAGGTCAAAGAAAAATGTTCACAAAACCAACTTGACAGCATTGCTAACCTGTGGCTGCGACACCAGACCCCTTCGTTCTCAGGACCTAAAAGGTCTTCGGATAATCAATCACCGCTGTCTCCTTGATAACTGACTGAAAAGCGTACGTACCAAAACGGTACGTAAGCGAGCACGTTAGATTCGCTTGGGCAGCAGAAAATGCTCAACTGGTTAAGGGGTTTGGGGCAAGTATTGCGAATGGCCAAACGCCAACACACATCCCATTTTGGAGAAACGCTTACTGAGGACAGGATGTGCAATGACAGCGCGAAATGATGGTGTCAGTTTGAGTGCTGAGTTGAACCTTTTGAATAAATCTGTCGACGTTCTGCTTGCATTTTTAGTAAAGTGCTCCCTGTCAGACTACCATCCTTACGCTTGTCTGTCGTTGTGTACTGGGTTTGTGAAGGCTCAAGTTAACAACACCTTATTTGGGAACACTACCATTAATCCCGAGAGGTTCCAAACCTCAATATTTGAGACAGATGACTGTTCTCAATAAAGAACAACTTATGGATTGTGTATGTATTTTTTCGCGGTGGTACAGGTGTGTTCTGATTTATACGACGGCTTTTCACTGTTTGTTTTAGCGGCTTTGTAAATCTTGACCTGCAGGGCTAGATCAGCCGGAAAGAGACGGAATTCTCAACAGCTTCACATATACCCATGTAAATATAACGTTCGCAAATGAAAGGACCAGCACCCATTGCTCAGACATTTGGGGATTTTGGTTAACACTGCTACAGAGAAGATTACCAAGCAAATGACATATAATCTTCGGTACCAGGTACGCTTCACGCGCTGGAGATAGCGTTCAGGATAACTCAGCCGTTCTCGGACGTCTTTCATACATATCGGCTACCAGAACACATACTATTACGAATTGCAGAAGTGGCGTAGACCAACTAGGCTACATCAAGGGCATTCAGAATGGGAATGAAATAACTAACCATCTTTTGACAAAAGACGTAGCGAGTGCCTAGAATGACCCCTAAGTATACATCATCCTTCCTCAATACCAGCTGTTGCCGAATGAGACACACTGCTTCTCCTTGTGTATATCATCTGAAGTACGTTTTTTCTGGGAAGCTAACTGGGAGCCCATCTGAATAGATTTCTGAATGCTGACCAAATTTTCTTATCAGCAGATCCATTAAACTAGTGATCATCACCATTCAGTTCAATATGGAAGTCAGATGAAAGGCACTCGGGACCTTCATGGATCTTCCACCTCAGATAACTATCCGAGACTATTCTTGGGATGGCTGATACCGTTGCCTTCCAGCAGAATAGAACTTGTCACCGAGCACAAACAGTATGTTTGATTTGGCCTGAACGACCTCATATGGGGCGAATTTGAATCGTTCTGACCTGCTTTTGTGTCACTCGATCTGCATGGCTAACAAATCCTCACTGTTTGATCTATTCAAATTGCTATTTTGTACTCTGTTTGGCCAGTTGTGAGAAGCACTGAAAACCTATTCTTTGTCTATCTAACCTGCCAACATCCATCTCGAGACAACTTAATGGTAGAAATGAGGCTTCACAATTAGTCTTGTGTTTACGAAAATGACTCCACAATTGCAGAAGCTCACAACAACATTACTAGTGTTACCTTAACGACGATAACGTTGCCTTGGTGATTAGAGTCAGGAAGTAGAGTCGCCCATGTCCCTTCCCATGGATTGTCGATTGACTACTGATGGGAACTAGGTCGAGTTTCTGATATGAAATTCACTCATCATAATCATGATCATGATATTTCTCACAGCAGGAGAACCATGTCAATTTGTGTGAATAACACCTAACGATGGGATGAAAAATTGGGCTTGGAGAGAGACCTAACGCTAGCTTACCGCAGACATCCAAGGTACTTACACCTCTGAGACGCAGTCAGACAGTCTAAGTAGGAAATCTTGGCATGAATTCCGTTAATATCGGTCAACCACCATATTTTTCAGTGGTCAGAGGAGGTCAACAGGATCATATACTGAAATGGCATCAACGGCATTCGGAGTGTTTGTTACATCTTTGATTCCATTCTAACAAGCCAGTTGTGGAAGCTTTTCCATATTCATAACCTTTACCTATTTTTAATGAAAACAATTCCTTATCCGCATCTGGGCTCATTTGTGCAAAACTTTTCTCCGTTCGGACGTAAAACCTTAAATGAACTTTCTGACGCTTTCAACTTTCGTTTATGACAAGGAGACGACAATACGTTTTTTGAAAAGCCACGGAGTGATCCATCACCAACGTTTATGTAGCAATGGCCACCAACTGACACTTAACTGTTTCTGACAGGTGGAGGTGTAATGCCAGACAGTGTCGGCAAGAAATCGGCCTTCGAAATGGAACTTGGCTGGAGCAGTCCAGGATGGAGTTTAGGACAGTAATTCTATCCATTCATTGCTGCTTCAAAAACTTGGCAAAAATCAAATTCTGCTCAGAGTAATTATCTACTAGCCACACGACCGATGTTGACTGAAAGAATTCTCTCCGCGAAGTTCGCGCCTGGCGGCTTTTGCAGACCCCAAGAGTTATCGGTGGCCCAAATCTACACGTCAAGATCGATGAAATGCCAATATCTCACCGTAAAATCACGCAGGGCGAGTCCTTTCCCAGCAGTGGATTTTCGAAGAAATCTGCCGGGAAACTAAGAGGTGTTCATGTATGGAGTGCCAGATCGAATCGCGGCCATTTTGATGGACACAATCCAGGCCCGCATTGAATTTCTTTGTCACGTCAAAATGCAGAATAAACGCCAATGTGATACTCACCGATCTTTAGTGGACAGCTACTTGTGTGAGGTCGTTTGTACCGAAAAACGGGCCTTTTCATGCAAATTATTAATCACATGTCCCAATTTCACCCTCTTCAACAAAAATTAAAAGTTCAAAGTTGATGCCCTCATTTTTCTAATCTTTTTTTTGGGTGGCGGTGCTTATCTGGAAAAGATTCCATTTTTGGGCCACCCCTATGTTTCCTGCATTCCAAATTGGACATGAAAAAACAACGCTATCCCCGGTAGACAGTAACCCCAA